GAAGGGGGGGTCAACCAGTTATTAATTCCAGGGGTTCACTTACTTTTTCCACTACCATAATGAGTGTCTTCAATAAAGACATGAAAGATCAGAATTTCTTGTGTTGTTTTTGTAGACACATTATATTTGTCAGTACTCTTGACTTAGATGAGCTGTCCCTGGTAGGCTAGTGGTTAAGGCACAGCACTCTCGCCCCGGGTTCAAATCCAAGTTGCATCAGAAAGGGCATCCGGCGTAAAACTATGTGCCAAATGCCAACATGCGAGTCGTCGGTGTGACGACTTGCTGTGGTGACCCCTAAATGGGAAAAGCTGAAAGTGACTCTTCACTTGGATGAAGATCAGATCACATTTTATGAGAAATTAATGCAAAAAAAAAAAAACAGGAAATTCCAAAAGGTCCACATACTTTTTGTTGCCACTGTAAAAAAAAAAAAAAAAAAGCTTGATGCTGCTCCAAGAACAGACTTTCTGGTTTTGAGATGTCAGTATCAGCCCATTTTCCACCAATATATACACTGCATGTCTTGCAAAAACATGCAGTACTGACAACTCTATTTGCACTGCCTGATCTGAATGAACCTCCCACCTGTTTGTTCCTTGGCTCCCACCTGTGAAATATATGTTCAGCGCTGGGCACTAAAATATTACAGAGGGGAAAAGAACATTTCAAGGGTAGGAAAAGAAACAGTTGGGAGTGCCGCTTTCATGGATCGTGAAAATAGAGGCCATGTAGTACTTATGCCAAAAGGCTGCAAATAAAAAGAAGGTGAAGCATAAAAAGAATCTACCTTTTTCCATTTCCACAACACACAAAAGTGTTAATGACTGTATCTGATCTAAGACTGTCTTTGTCAGACATTAACGGTGTGAAAAGGTAAGTAAGGTATACTCTGGCTTTCTGTGAATGCTTATCATGTCAGTCACTACGGAGGGAAATGTCATAAATAAAAAACTAATTAAAGAGCAAAAACAAAGCAAGATGACAGAAGTGTTAAGGCATCTCATCTGTCATTGAGCAAGATACCCAGACTGAGAGAGACATGTTTCACTTATCTTGTGTCTCATTTTTGGGCCCCCTGACCCCTTGGGCTCCTGGGCATGTGCCCTGTCAGCCCATTGAGTAATCTTACAGTTCCGTGTCTTGCTCAAGGACACTTTGACATGTGGACAGATGTGCAACCTGTTTTAGGCTTAAAATGAGGTTTAGTTCTGCAGCTTAACTCTTCCACATGAGCTTTACAGGTGGCTGCTCTTTACAGTCAAAAGCTTCCTCTTTCTCCTGTGCTAACCTAGGAGTACACACTTACAGAACAAGGGAAGAACTGCAGTCTCTTTTATGAGTGTGAAAGTGTGTGTTTGAGATATGCCTAGCATTCATCACCAGAGTGAGTTGTAGCCCCATGCTGACAGGGGTTGTTAACGGGGTGATTTCCACTACACATTTAATAGAGTTCATATTGCTGCATTTATGGTGTGTGTTATAGTAATTATAATACCAGGAAATGTGTGGCTGAGAAGAAGGCCAGGTTAGCTAAATGGGCAAGGATCACCATTACTGTGACTCCTGGGAGGATTCATTGGCTTCAGCCGGTGTTCATGTGCCACATGTTGAAATGACTGCAGTGTACAGGTCTGTGCCTTAAGTCCTTAGGCTACCCAGGTGCAACAAGAATTCTAATTTTTAACAAAATGAGAAGCAACTAGACAGTATTGAGAGAGCACAAACCTCCACCAAGGTAGATCAGTTTCCCCATGATGCCATGGCACCTGAAAACAATATTCCCATGATAGTTTGATTCTCCAATTATGATTGCTTGAGCAGGAAAACCTACCCCTGGAATTTGGGATGACACTGATATGAGTTTGAAATGTATTTTAAAAAGTGTAGACATACGACTGCTAAATGCCACAAACAGCCAAATAAGTGTCCCATACAGACTGACATAACAATGTGTACTTACAGTTGTTCATGGCTGTATGTAAGTTCTCTTTTTTTACAAAGTATCGCCTGCTACACTTATTAGCTCCACTTGTCTTCAGTCCAAGTGCTAAGCAGCTGCAGCTGCACACTTTCATCACTAGGTGGCTCTCACATACAGTCAACAGCCTTTCCAACACTCACAGTTGTGAAGAGTCCTTTAAAAAAATTCCTGGATCTCAACACCAAAATCTAGCTGGGTATTCTATGAGCCAAATCCTTCCTCTCTGAAACATTTCATGAAAATCCATTCATTACTTTTTCAATTATGCTGTGAACAAACCAACAAAATAATGCTGGTAATAAAAACATCACCCCTGCACTTGGTGGAGGTAACAATCCATTTCAATAGTTGCATTAATGAGTGGAGTGGATATCAGCTGCATGCACCTTTTAATGTTAAATACAGTTTCTTTTCAATTTCAGCACAAAAATTCACACTATCACTGGGTCCAGTCTTAGATCTACTAGTTATGTGTAGTTACAGTCTTATGCCATGTTACAAAATAATGATGACGTTCCACATAGCGACTGATATGTACTGTATTTCACTCAGTGTCTTTGTTTGGTTTGTGACCTCTCAGACATATCTAGCAAACCCTTGGGGGATCCAGCCCCCAGTCTGTGATCCACAGGCAAATGAGAAATTGTTTTCTGGTAATTTCAGTGAAGCTACCCTTTAAACACGAATCTGCTGTTTAATGTGCATCAGGCAGCTCCTGAGCAGAGCAGAAAAATACCAGGAGAACGTGCATGAGAGGCCAAGCATGCTCCCTGCAGCTTCACAGTGTGGTATGTCCTTCCTCGGCAAGTAAACAAGGGGAAAAGAGTGCATGCACACACAAATACACATCTGTATAGCTATCTTTGTGAAGACACACATTAACATGCATTCCCAAATAAATGACAAACTCCAACCTTTATCCTAACACCAAACCTAACTTAATTCTAACCTTAACCCTAAAACTGTGTCTTAACCCTCAAACAACCCTTTGAATGGGTCACAGAAATTGAGGATTGGCCAAAATGTTCTCACTTTCCCAAAATGTCCTCACTCCCATGGTATAAAATTAAATGGGTCCTCACACTGCTGGCCACACAAGTACACACACACACACACACACACACACACACACACACACATACATAGACCCATATATTTTAGCCCAGATAATTTCAATTAGCTGTGGAGGGAGTGAAAGGATCCCTTTACTGTGTGTGTGTGTGTGTGTGTGTGTGTGTGTGTGGCACACATTAGCTGTGATGGGTTTGGCAGTTCTGTTGGTGATGGCCCAAGATCGTTTGCTGTGAGCCCCATATAACTGAGAACACACAACCACACACACACACACGTGTGTGGTTTCAGTCCTCGTTGGAACTTTACATTGACTTACATTCATTTCTTAAAGACTTATCCTAACCTTAACCATATCAACCTAATCCTAACCTCACCATGGTGTTATACAAATACATTTTAATTGAACCGGATAGAACTGAATTGAATGTACTGCTATATTTGTAAGGACATTCACTGACATAATGCATTCTCTAGCCCAGTGGTTTCTCAACTTTTTTTGCGGGACCCCAATTTTGTATTTTGTGGGTAAAATATTTTGAGCCCTCCCACTCCCACTACCATACACTCAGTTATATTTATATTTAGCCCCCTCCAAAAAAAGGGCCCCCCAGGTGGGATTCTTTAGGAACCACTGCTGTTAAGGGTTTCTCTGGGAAACACTGCTCTAGTCCCGTACTCTGTCCTGACCTTCACCATCACAACTAAATTCCCAAACCTAATCCTAAGGTAATTCTAAAATGAAACATAAGATCAAGCCTTAGCCCTCAAAAGCCATAAAAGAACTTATAGTAACTGATCCTCACAATGCAAAGCCATTCCAGTGCGCGCACACACACTTATATAGACACAGAGAGCAAACATGGCTCCAGTAAACTTCTTCTTATGTTATATACTGTGTACTGTACTATGTATGTTATGCCAGATTTTTTAGATTTGTGACAAAGTCCTGCACAGCTCCATCTGTCAGCAAGCCCCCAAGTTCATCAGCACAAGTCTTTTATCAGTGGACTTCCAAAGACACAACAGGGTGACCAGATTTAGCATTCCTGTGATAAGACCTTCTCACCAAGCTCTTCCAGACAATCTAATCTATTAAAGAAACAAACAGCATCTGTGGCGGACTGGCTCACTCTGTTCCCAGACATCTCCGCAGTCACAAACAGACACCGAGCATTAGGAAGCTGTTATCCATTTCACCCTTGTACTGCTTCTTGCCTGCATGTTAATACTACAGTGAGTTGAATTTCACTAAAGAAACCTTAAAATATACAGTAATGGGTTTGCGTAAATATCAAATGTTAGTACAAACAACCTACTGCCTTATTAGTGTTGAAACCTAAGCAAAATTGATTATCTATTTTATCTATTTTAATATTTCTTTGTCCCCTCTCAGTGAATACAGATGTGGATTTGCTGCTCTCAGGATGTATGTTGTCAGATTACTCGAAGGGTTACGTGATTCCATTTTAGTTGAGGAAACTTGAAAATGTTCTAGTTTCTGAAAAATTGTCAAAGCCAACTCGACAGTGACATTTTATAGTTTGATCAGTCAGCGCAACATCTACCTATGATGTCATGAAAAGAAAAAGGGGGAACATACCCAAACCTCCTATTATATTTATGCATGACATGTCACAAACAAATGAAGAAAAGAGTCCTACGGGTCCGTTACACCTGATCAGGTACTCTATCATCAAATCTGTCTGTCTCACAGCACTGAAGTCACTGTTTATGTCCACATTATTAGGTACTCTTGTACTGTCTAATACTGTTACGTCCGTGGCCCTGTCCACCCCCAGCACTTCATCAGCTGGCACGGGCTGTCACAGTAGCTCCGCCCCCGCACAGGTGGGAATGCATTCTAGGCGGCGAGGCACACCTGCTCTCAATTACCAGACTAGTACTTAAAGGGAGGGTTGGTGTTTCCTTGTTGCCAGATGATCTCCTCTGTTCCTGCTGGTAACCTGTCTTTGTTCTCATGACTAAGATTGTTTGTGTATGAACTGTTTTCTAGAATGTTGGACCTGATTTCGGGTAGTAATGAACTGATTGCCCTTATTGTTTTTTGAAGGGTCACTTTCTGTTTGAACTGTTTTCTGTGGACTTGTGTTAAGGACCGGAGTACCCTCTGCATAGTGGTTTCAGCCATTTTTATATCAGCACCATTTGGTGCCTGGACTGTGAACTGTTTCTCCAGGTGACACTCCTCAGGACGAGGAGACCAACTCTCGCTGGGACTGGTTGCATGGTTCTGGATCCCCACTGTCAGCCTTCCGCACACCATCTTACTACCTGCTTGCCGTCTGCTGCGAGCCTGAGCCTCACTACGACGGTAGTACTGCACGTCGGACCAGTGATCTCCTGTGCCAGCTCCCACACCTCCCCCTGGACTGTGTTCTTAGCCTACGATGCTCACCTGCCTAGAGCCAGTAAATTCTGCTACTCAGGTCCTCAGTATAACTATCAGTATTGCCATTACCATAGCATCCCTGTTACTCATTCTCATCCTCTGCTTTTCTTTAGCCATCTGCGCCTCTCCTACAACCTTGGGTTGTAGCTCTAGCAGTCCAGTCATCCCAGCACTCCCCGCTGCCCTGAGATCGGCTGACGTGACCAGTTCTGACCACTTCTCAGTTCTGTTATTAAAATACATTTACCTGGTCAAGCCTGAGTCCGAGTTCTGCCTTTTTCTGAGTCCGAACAAACACATAATTGATTTGATTTGATTTATTCTTTCAAGCATGTAAAGACAGTTGACAATGGAATGGTTCACAAATAAACATATCCAGGTGTTAGAATGGCCAAGTCAAAGTCCAGACCTGAATCCAATCGAGAATCTGTGGAAAGAACTGAAAACTGCTGTTCACAAACGCTCTCCATCCAACCTCACTGAGCTCAAGCTGTTTTGCAAGGAGGAATGGGCAAAAAGTTCAGTCTCTCGATGTGCAAAACTGATAGACATACCCCAAGCGACTTACAGCTGTAATCGCAGAAAAAGGTGGCGCTACAAAGTATTAACTTAAAGGGGCTGAATAATTTTGCACGCCCAATTGTTCAGTTTTTTATTTGTTAAAAAAGTTTGAAATATCCAATAAATTTCGTTCCACTTCATGATTGTGTCCCACTTGTTGTTGATTCTTCACAAAAAAATACAGTTTTATATCTTTATGTTTGAAGCCTGAAAGGTGGCAAAAGGTCGCAAAGTTCAAGGGGGCCAAATACTTTCGCAAGGCACTGTATATACTAGCCTTCCATAGGAATGCTGATCCAACTCTTGGCATATTTGAATGTGTATTGATAACACTTAGGTATAAATTCAACAAGAGTTACTGCTTCATGGTTGTATGCCTCCATCGTCCAGTCAAAAAAAAAACCCCTGAAGTCATTCTAGACATATTGCATTCACAGAAATGAGACAAATGTGAGATCATTGTGACCACCAAAATCTATTCCGTTCATTCTCGAGTCCTTGTGGATAATTGTGCCAAATTTGAAGAAATTCCCTCAAGGTGTTCCTGAGATATCGCTCTCACAAGAACAGGCTGGACAAACATACAGACAACAACATTCAGTATTCGCTGTGATACTTCACTCTGGACCACAGTTGCGGACCTACAGTACTGACCAACCAACCAACATTGTCATGCCCACATTGTCTGCCATCGTGCACGTGTGTGTGTGTGTGTGTGTGTGTGTGTGTGTGTGTGTGTGTGTGTGTGTGTGTGTGACAGAGAGAGCATGTGTGTTAATAAAAAACAACTGGCTGGCTGAGCACCTTACAGAGATTTCAATTAGGATGATATTATCTACCTAAAACCACAAAAGTGACCAGTGGGAAATATTTTACTGATCTGTACTTTGAGTTTTTAAACTGGCTTATGTCCCATCCACTAACATGGAGGAGGCAGGGTTTATGACCTGTACTGCAGCCAGCCACCAGGAGGAGATCGTGTCGGAGTGGCTTCACTTCTGGGGGCTGTCATGACATCCCTATTTTCTACATTTGATGAGAGAAACACTAACATGTCTGGAATGGAAGAGTTTACTCATGTCATGTTTCATTTTGTGTGAGTATATTCAAAATCAGAAATTGTGCTCTTACATAAGACAGGGAGATATGGAAAAAACAGCCAACCACCAAAAACAAGGTAGGCTATTGTGAAAATGTACATCCATAGAAAATTTACACTACAGTAACTTTTTTAAAGGAAAACTGTTAAAACAAGAAGGTCTGTCATCCTCAACATGTTTTAAACAAGTTACATTAGTTAACTGTCTGTTCTGAGGCTGGGTTGATAAAATGACAATGATAATTATAATAAAAATCTGGATAATAGCATTTACACAACATTGCTACTCTAGAAAAGGATTGGATTTTAAAGCTGGATAAACAACAGAGCAACATCCACCATAAAATATGCAGTGACCTGTGCTGGCAAAGTCAGGAAACAACAAAGTAAGACCCATTAGAAAAGGTAACATTACTTTCCCAGTGTGCAGAAAGACAGTCTGTTCCCAAACTGCAGTACTAGCAACTGAGCTCACTAACATTAAACCTCATACTGTTCAAAGCCCAGCAGCTCCTGTTGCCTTTTCACGTGTTACTCTACATGATAAAAGCTCAAAAAGAAGCGCAAATCCCAGTGACTGCAATTTCTGATTTCATAGTGAAAGATATGATGCTAGTAGGAACGGTGGAAACACCGTCTGAAAAGATAATGACAGTGGCTGACTCCTGGTGTAGAGCTGCAGGATGGAAATGTTCAAAAACAGCACTGCTGCAGGTTTATGTAGAAAGCAGCTGTACTTTATCACCACTACTACCATGCAGGGTAGCTGCACGGCAGAGCCTTGCATGAGCTTGTAACTATAAACGTCAGACTATTTGTGGTGTTAACAAACCTGTTGAATGCGCCTCCTTCATTATGAATGGCTTTACATGTACTGTATGTCCATCCATCCATTATCTATACCGTTTATTCATGAATAGGGTCGCAGGCAGGCTGGAGCCTGTCCCAGCTGACATTGGGTACACCCTGGATGGGTCACCAGCCTATCACAGGGCTGGCACATTATTGATGATTGATCATTATAGAAATATAGTGAGACATATTTTTGGCCTGTCGCTCAGCCCCAGTCTGTCCTTACATCAGAAATCTTGGTGCCACTTAAGACTGATATGAACTCATCAGTGCAACCTTCTTCGCTGGCGCTGTGCAACATTTCAAAAATGCAGCCTTTTTTATCTGCAAAGCACTTGAACACTGTCATTCATGCTTGTATGAAAGATTACTGTAATTTCCTACATTCCCATCTGTGTCAGTACGACCTGTTGCAGCTTTCATTTAGTTCATGCTGCACCGAGATTACTGCCAAGACCAACTAGTGGGCTGCATATGCAGTTCAAAGGAAACTGGGCCTTTGCAGCTGGGGGCCCTTGATAAAGAAATGACCCGTCAATAGCCTGGTTTCCATCTAAATGTGAAGTGACTCTTTTGAAAGTTTGCCAAAAGAAAAGAAAAGCAAATTAGGTGTGTTTCCACAAAACAAAACAAAACAGAGAAACTGACAAACATAGAATATGGAGAAAGGCCTGGCCAAAATAATTTCAACTGGGCAACTCGTACTTGTCCTCTCTGTTATAAAACTAGGATTGGCCATGTTCACAGCTGTCCAGAGACGAAGAAAGAGAAATGGTGCTCAGCAGAAACAGCCAGCATGTGAGTTCAATGTTCACTAAGCTATAATTTATCTGGCAAATGTGTTTCCATCTCCCATTTTGTGCATTAACTCTTTTTTGCACAAGTCAAAAAAAAATCACCTCAAGCGAGCATGAAAACTTATACTCTGTCTAAAGTGCTTTCTCAATGATTAAATAGCTTCAGAAACTTTCCTTTCTTTGTCCTTTCTTTCCATTTTATTCTTTATCCGCCTTTTTTTCTCAGTCTAATTTTCATTGGCAACAGTTAACGCCCTTAAGTCTTTTTCTTTGTCTATGTATCTTTGTTCAGACTCTACTGTTGGTCCTCTCTTTCTCTCGCTCTCTGTCATAATCCCATCTCTGCAGGGCTTCTCTTGAGGTTGAGAACCAAAAGACAAACAGAATGTGGTCCAAAAAGGAGGGAGACTGATTCTTCTGTTACACCCCTGACCTGCAGCAGCCCAGGACCAGATAAATACACATACTGACACACAAAAAGGCATCCTCTATGTGGCTGACGTCACTGAGTTAACATAAGGACACTCTCGGATGATACACACACATCCCTACTACACACACAGAGCTGTGAATACAGGGTCACATGGAGTGCAATGTCTTCAGAGGAGAGTTTTTGAAATTCACCAGAAATGTTTTGGAATCAAATATGAGCCGTTACTTCAGCTCCCACCAGGAGAGATGATACAACTGCAAATACCTGCAGATGGTAAAGTCAATAATAATGTTTAGTGTGTTCATTTTTTCTGCTGATAAGGTGATACTGTATCTGCGAGGGTGCCATGGTCAGGCCATCGATGCTAAATAAGAGAAAAACAGACAGAAACTGACAGGCAGGCTGGTTCAGCCTGGCTCCTCCAGCCTTTCATAACAACACAGAGAAAGAGTTTATCTTCTAAAACTGATCTGTTGTGAAGAAACCCGCTGATGTTTGGTGTTTGTGCCCCATCTTGTCTCTGTCTCAAGGACAGAGAGAGAACACACAGCACCTGGCCTTTAGTTGAGTTTAGGGCTAGAAAATGTAGTCTGTCCTCGAGTGCAGTGTGTGTATATAACATACTATATATGTAGACTGAGAAGCAGACAGCAGACAAAACATCATGATAATGTTCCTTTTGCTACATTCACAGTCCAAACACACTCCATCTCTGATCTTTTGCTATATTTCACTGAAACCTGGAGCATTAACACACAGTGCAGTTCTAGACAGCTTCATCACATCTTATTTATCTAGCATATATTTGATCACAGAATTAAAAACTGTTCAGCCTCAAAAGCTGACATCGAATGAATGGTCACATTCCTTGTAGTGTTGTCAAAAATATTGACTTTTTTAAACATACTGATTCTGAATATTTGAAAAAGTTTCAATTCTCATTTTCCATAGTATTGATACACTGATACCAGCTGCACATTCGCCCTGTCTCTTCTCTCTAACAGTGAATTTACACACACACACACACCGCTGCAATGCCCACAGCCCCATCACCTGTCACTCACAGTGCTGTCCACATCTTGTCATCTCATTTGCACCGGTTGAATTTTAAGGTAATGACAGACTGTGGTAGATTAAGGGTTTTGCTATGATGTTAGCTCATTACAAATGACAAGTGTGGAACAGCCGTTAATGATAGGTGCTAACACAACAAATTCAGCAAAGCACCTGAAGGAGCAGCATGCCAACCTCTATAAAGAATTTTAAGAGGTTGGTGACAGCTTCCATTTCAGCATCACTGAACCATTAAACAAGATGGTCCAGTAAACTGTTGTTAAGTGTGTTGTCCTGTTGTTGGGCCAGCGGCCTTCTGTAATTCTCAAAGCTAAGCTAATGTCCCTCAGAGCCATAGGTCTGAGGAGTCTCAGATTCAGTTGATGGGAGAATACTTAAATTAATTAGTAAAATAAGGTACATTTTGTGCTTAACACACAGTATGTGTGACAATCTCAGAGGCTCTT